AAGGACATCATTTCCAAAGAGCATCTTACATGACATAAAATATTGAGGAGATCCAAAGGTTAGTGCTGTACAAATATTTTACGATGTTTGTTTATAACATGAATAACGGCAATTGGACTGAAACTGAAAATATGAAATATTGCGAGACTTTTTGGAGGAACGTAGTGTGGCAATTTACTTTAAAGTAAATACATTTTATTTTATTATTCCTAAACGCCATGTTATATGTAAGATTCGCATAGCTGGGCTGTGAAATCTATCTTACATATGACATAGTGTCTCCTGACACGGATCGGACAATGCATTCGCATTCAGAACATGTCAATATTCTACGTCTAAAGGGTGGAAAGGAGGAGGACATGGTTCTCGCGATCCCAGTGAGGTTGTCAGTGATGAAAGTCAGCATTTCGCGTGACAGATGATACATAATGCCAGAGACAAGTAGTACAACCATAAAATTAAGCAAAGGTAACAAGCGATGAGGTATCGTTAAAAATCTGTCCGTTCCAGTGAACAAAATTAACTTTAGTATTAGCAATAAACTCAGTCGTAAATAATAATTTAAAAAATAAAAACTTATAAAATAATAATTGTATCTAATTATTATTTTACAAGCTTTTATTTTTAAACGTGTGATTATTGGAATTAATAATCATCATAACATATCATTAAACTTATTAGGCTTCTATTCAATCATCATTACCTCAGATTATAACAATATAAGCGAGAAAATATACAATAAAATTCTTGTAAAATACATATGTTAATGTAGAAATATATTGCAAGAAAACAACACTTATGATCGATAGAATCGACTGTGAAATAAACTGAAAACTCTCTGTTTGTTTCATTAATTAATAAATAACCATATTATCTGCAAATAAATTATGCACAATCAAAAATGAATAAGTTATGTTGACAGTTATAACTGGCTACCAAATTAATAATACATACATAGAAATAAATATGATTTAATTTTTCCTCAAAACAATAAGATAGTTTTTTCGATATAGTTTATAAATCTATTCTATCGATTGCAAATTGTTTTATAGAAAAATATTTCTATATTATAAAATATTTCAAATATGATTTTTATAAACATTTGTATTGCGTTTTCTTGCTTCCAACGTCATAATCTGAGGTAACAAAGATGAATAAATAGGAGTTCTTCTTTCGTTACTAATTTTGGATAATGCTTTCTCGATGAAAGTTAACATTTTCTTTCTGGATAAAGGTAATATTGTAACTATATATTCAATTAATTCCATGTGAGTAGCTCAATTCCTTTTTCATTAAGTCGATAGAATGAGGAAACACTGGTAATGCAATTAAGTAAACGAGGTAAAGGGGACGATTTTTTCTCATCGACAGAGCGAAGAAAGGTTTAGTCTTTCGTGGCGATCGTTCTACAAATGAAAAAAAAACGTTCGAAAAATGAAGTTAATAATTCACACATTGCGATCAGTCGATTTCGTTTATACATTGATAATGTCTTAATGAACGTTTAATACGAGCAGCTTTCAGATGTTATCCGAACAAACTTTATTCACTGTGATGACCGAGATCTAAATTTTCAGATATTCTCGTCGAGATAAGTTACATGTTATCGATTAATCCTTTAATATTTCTTGAAAACGAACACAAACCTTCATTTAACTCTTCGTCAAATCGTTTTAATACTAAAACAACATAATCACAATATTAAAATAATATCAAAATATTTAATATGAAAAAATCTTGAAATAGTATTATTTGATATTTGTTACATTGTATCTGATACTTGTTATACTATATATAAATATATTTAGAGTGATTGTTAATTATTTTAACCAGATAGATACATTTATTCAGAAGATGAACATCAAAATTTTTTATCTTTCTATAATTGGTTAATTGATCTAATTAACCTTTGTTGTCCAATATCGAAATGGACATGGATGTTCTGCATATAATATTCCAAATGGAATTAATTCACGACAATTACAATTCACAAATATTATATTTTCAAAATTTTTATAATATTTTTCAAATAATAAAGAAGAATTGGGAACAAACGTTGATAATATCAAAATAAGACATCAAAATAAGACTTAGTATACTAGCTTTGCCAAACTGTACATAAACGTAAAGAAGGAATTTATATTTTAGCTAATCCCACTGAGCTCAGCATCACTACTGAAATCCTAAATACTGCATGTATTCAAATTTAACATCCTGCATATAATATTCCAAATTTTTTAATTAATTCACAATTACAATTAGCAAATATTTTTTAAAATTTTATATTTTTCAAATAATAAAATTTAAGTATTAGAACAGACATTGATAATATTAAAAATTAAAAAGAATAAAGCATATTTAAAGCTTTGCTGAACTGTACATAGATGTAAAGAAGGAATTTATATTCTAGCTGATCGCACCATTGAGATGATAAATAATGTATGTACTGAAATTTGTTGAAAATCACGGGGTTAGAGAAAGGGTAGTAATTTTATATTTCCGTATTTTGGACTCGCGCGTAATGCACGTCGTTAGGAATATCACGCCGCAGTTGCGAACGATAAATAATTTAATCTCGCACTCTCCCCTGGAATTTCGGGGCACCGAGATCCTGCGCAGTACCGCATGCACATTGCTAGACATATATAAATAGTACGTGGCATGGATTTCGCGAAAGGGAATATTTAACGTGTGTTCCTATGGATATTTGGAATTTCGAATATGAGTGCGATAACACCGATGAAAATACAGGGCAAAAAGTGTGGAAATGCGAGAAATACCAACCGGCTAGTTATTACGTTGTTTTGACGTTGCACAATCACGCGATTATTAATATCAACCACTCTTCGGGTGACAGGGGGAGAATGATTCATCGACGAGACACGATCGCGCAACGTACGACGCGCGTGGAATTACATGATAAAGGTGAGAGTGCGCCTCGTCGTGCACATGCAACGGATATTTTCAGGCTCTCTTGGAACCTTTACACGATCAAGCCTCCGGGAAGTAGTTTTTCTAACACGAAAATAAGAACCTTGCGACATCAAGATTTTTATATTTATTCTTATGTCGACATATCCCGAGATGATATCGCGAGAAACAGGCTGCGTTTGCCACTTATGAATCCTTACACCTACACATCTTATTTGTTTATAATAAATTAAATTATGAGTTCGTTTGGCGATAAAATCGAAAGAGGTGTCGGTCGACCGCCATCTTCTTAACATTCAATACGGAGTATTTCTCGGTAATGAAGCTTAGACTTAATATCTGATAAAAGAAAGATAAGTTCTTTTTGAATTTAAATGAACGAGAAAGTTTTGTTATTTAATTGCACTTTCTCTTACCTATGTAAAGTTAGTTAGCGAAAAGTCCTTCGTTTCCCAATCATTCGTAATGCGAAAACTGTCCATACCTTGACACGTTTCAGTTGAGGAAAAATCGACCGTTAGTTGGTGAAGGAAGGTTTAATTCGGATATTCGTTGTGTTTATCTTAAGGTTTAATTCGGATATTCGCTGTGTTTTCACGTAATTTACTAGCGCACCGTTCTCATTAAGAATACATTGTATTAGCAGGCCAAGAAGACTATTATTGCTGCATTTCTTTTATCGTTCATTTATTTTTACGTACTTGCCAATGTTTTCCAGCTATCCCGCAAACAATGCGGCACTTAATAAAACAATTTTTTCGACACTGCCACGAATTTTTGTTCTGTCAAGCTAAGACTAAAACAGTGTACTTTATTTCTTTCTACATTACTTTTTCTATCAAATCAAGTCTTACGTATTCACGAAAGTAATTGGACATTTGTCAATGATTATGATAAAAAATTATATTTTGAAGTAAATTTCGTTGACAAAGAAAAATATGAATATACTAAGTATTAGTTCAATCGTTCAATGTTAACGTCAAACGTCAGTAGGTTGAGGTAATTTTAAATAATAACCAGAATGTTTTATTGTTAATGTTATTGCAAATTAATATTTTGTGCATAACATTTTGAAAATTCAGTTTTAATATTTAAAAAATAACAGTAAAATTAATAGAATTTTGTACACTAATAAGAAATTTTAACGTTTTATTATACATTAATATTTAATGTGCAAGTTATTCAAACTTATTATCAATGGAAAGTTTGAAATATAAAATATTAAAATTCCTGATTACTATGAAAGTTATGTTATCGTACTGATATTTCATTATTTATCGAATGGATGAAAATTTGTTTTTTATATTTTATGGCACAAAATGTATCGTGTCCGAAATACAATTTTCTCATGATCATCAATAAAAATGATACTTATTCAGTTATTTTTATGTAAGATTTGATTTCATAGAAAAATAATACAGAAAGAAATAGAGAAAAGATGTTTTAAAGAAAAACAGAAAAAATAGAATTTTATAATTCTTTTGTAAATCCCAATTAAATTTAAGCCGATTATTTTATTAAACATATTTATCATTATTAGGTGGAATAAGATTGCACAAAATTCGTTTGTGGTTTAGTAAAACAAATGCTTAAAAGAATTATAAGTCTGACGAGAGAAACTTTCTTACTTAACCTAAAGAAAGCAAACTTTCCTTTCCGAGGTAATATAAGTAAGCTACATTGAAAAATTAAGAACTTTGTAGTGCGTCTTGTTAATCTAATACAGTTTTCAAAATTAATTGACGATAATATTAACAGATTAAAAGAGATATACAAAGATAAATATTGCATAAATCATAGGAATTATTGAATTATAGCAGAAACAATAAAAAGATGATTTTCAGACCAGATGAGAGACTTAATTCATTCAAGTATGAGGGATGTAAGTCAAGATGTAAACTTGCGGGAGAGACGAGGCAAGCCACTTTATTACCTCGGTTTCCGCTTATCGATAGACTTGAATTTAATCATTCTAACTGTCCAATTAACTACCTGGATTTCTACTCCGTATGTAATGCAAGTAAAAACGTCCAGTCAGGGTCGTACGAGGGGACAGTAGTTCCACTTACCCTGCCTGTCTGTCTTATCCCGTCTCGTCGCAGAGATCACTGTCCCACCTCCCTCGACGAGCGGCACAAAGAATCACAGTTCACGAGAAAAGATATGCACGACGGACGACGACGGCGACGGCGACGACACGTAGCTGCTCACGAGTGATCATCCGCGGGAGGGAATTTCTCTTTGTGTCTCCCTCTTTTCCTCTTTCAGACTCTGTCAAGTCGCTTCCGGAACTTATCTAAGAATATCTCACTGTCCCGAAAGCTTCGGGCTGGAAGAGGACGCATTCACGATGACGATGACGGCGATGATGATCAAGCCAAGTACACTCACACGTTTCGCGTTGCGCATGTGTATACATATATCTATCTATCTATCTATTTATCTATATTTATATATATCTCTCTGTACGCATCTCAATGGAACTCACGTTTCTTCTTCTTTCTTTCTCGCTCTTTTTCTTCATCTATCCTCGTTAAACTCACTGATTCACGATAATCTCCGTTCGCTCTGGTCGCGTCGTTCTTTCTCACGATCCACCCTCCACCTTCTCGCTACGATTCTCTCTTCCTCTTTTTCCTTCTATCTCTCCCTCTCTCTCTCTCTCTCTCTCTCTCTCTTTCTTTCTCTTTCACACACTCTCTGCAACTAGGATAAAATGATATGTATTCATTCGCAACGGCGGTCCCCGAAACTGCACGGCTGTCTTCGCGTTTCGCACTTTCACTGATTGTGAGCCAATGATCGAGAGTGTTTGATTTCACTCAGCCACCCCCCGTATCATCCGTTCGTCTCGTTGGTTGACTTTTCTGTCTTGTGCTGGCTCTGCTCCGTTTCCACGCTCTATCCTCCTATCTTTCTCTCTTCCTGTCTTTCTCTCGACGGAGATCCCGTTGCACGCCCCCTCGGACAATAACCTTACTCACTACTATTTTTACTTGCCTAAAACTAATACGGATAATATACTCCCGGTGCACACGACTAATATCTCTACACTCGCACGACTACCCCGTGTGCACTCTAACCCGAGTCATATTTTAAATACGACGACGCACGGGTGGCGGTGCGACCGTGGGGTTACACTCTCTGCCTCTCATGCTGCCTCCTCCCTCTTGCGCCCCGGTCGGCCGCGATGCGCCCCTACCCTCTGAAGGTATCCCCACCACGGATACTGTTCGCCCTTGACGTGCCACCCCGCCGAACAGTGACGTCTCTCGAAGGTTTAACTTTTACCCCCCATTGAGATGTGCGTGCTGCCTGCTTTTATTTCCTATCATTAAAGTAAAATACTATAGATATAGATACACGCTCTCTCTCTTTCTCTCTCTCTCTCTCTCTCTCTCTTTGTTACTTTAATTTATTCCTTAATCAAAAGATACGAGACGCACTTACGATTTTTATTAGTTAGTTTTGTTGATTAAAATGGTGTATAATACTTAAAAAATTGTAAATTTTCTAGGGAAGATCTTGAAAACTCTCTACCTTTTTTGTATTTTATAATAACATTGGGAAGAGGAAAAAGAACAGGACCGATACATCATTAGAGTTATAAATATTATTCTAATTATTATAATTTTGAAATATTAATTTTAATTATCTAAGGATACTATAAAAGATACTAAAAAACCGCAATACTATAAAGACAAAGTTGTCATCAAATTCCCTGTACTTTTCTGTTAATTTCAATCGACTCTATCGTAACCACCCGGGTTTCTCTGCGCAATCGAGACGCTCCTAATATACCCCTTATTCCCCGTTTGGAAAATCGCAGTGACGGAATTCTGCAACAATGTCCTGCTCCGTGCCGCTAGAATATTTCCACGACAATCTTTACGTGTTTCACCCCATTGAAACATTACAAGTCTACTTACGCAACTTGACTGTTTACTTTTAATGAACTTACAGTATATCAAGGAAGCGTGCTACGTTACACTCAGTGAAATGTTTCTCGGTATTGCGATATTGCATATCTTGGTGGCGTGATGACCCCTTTACTTGCGACGCCCTTGAAATTATGACAACCCATCGCTGCAGGGGCAAAGGACAGTAACGTAGTCGGAGTATCGCTTTACAGAGAATTATAATTAAATAAGTGATATTTACGTCCCCGTGAAATTGTAGGCGTAAAGTTAATGAACGTACACAAGAGGCATAATTTAGCAGCGCCAAATTTATTGTGCAAGCAATATAGGACATGTGTATTATAATTCATAAACTATAATTCTTCGTGATATCCGATACATCGCGTGGAATGTAACAAATTAATGTTAATGTGTGTGTACTCTCTACTTTTAGAGTAAATCTCACCCTTGAAGATTGAAAATTGAGCCATTCTTTTTCAAGATCGACTCAATTTTTACTCTTCAGGGTAAAATTTCATTCTAAAGAATTTAAAGAGTAAATGCAAGCGAACGACAACTTTCGCTTACATTTCTGCGTATATTATTGTGAAGAACGTTGCGTTATGTCCCCTTAATTAGCACCCAGTCGAATGAATCGTCAAAGTTACATCGGCCGTTATTAGCGCCGAGGGCTCCAAGAAATTTGTTTCATACGGTTTTTTGCTATTACATCACGCTGCTTTTCCCCAACCACATCTCCTTATTCGGTCGATCGACGATAACGTCGACATTGTTATTGTACGTCACTGACCGCCACCCCTGCGAGGAATTGTACCCTTTCTTCTTCCGCCGTCTTCCCTACCTTTCGCGCGTTCCCCGTTTCCCTTCACCCCTTTTTCAAATGTGGCTCAATGGTAGCCGCAGACTACTTATGGTATCTAAACGCCTGAAGCTCAGGGCGATGTGTCTGACACAGCCCAATAGGTGAATGGACAAAAGCCGTCTCTATCTCGTGGCAAGCGCCACACTACTAAATCATGCATATCGAAACCGTTGCAAGGGCGGTCGCGCGCGTCACGTGACAGTTGCAGGGTGCTGCGAAATTAGGAGAGTTCGTACCCCACAGCGCGCAATACCCTGTACGAATTCGAGCTCGATCGAGCTACCGATCCTTCGGAATCTACCGTCGATCTCTATGTTATATCACGTTGTCGCAATAACGCATCGCATGACTCTAGCTGCAGGTCGCAGACCGAAGAGGATAATTTTAGAACGGAACTAACAACGCCTTCGTATGCAGTTGATGTGTCGTCTTCGTAAACATTAATCAACATCCTGCTCCGCTTTCTGTTTGTCTCTTCGATACATTAGTTGTAACTAATATTTATGACAACAGTCTCACTGATATTAACATGCTAGAGTCAGAAAAGGCGATTATTATCCTTGGAGAAACAACCTTCAAACATAGCAAGCGACTCTCTTGACGACTTTCAAACCATTCGAACTAGTATGTTTACGATCGCGGAAATTGTGAGTTACCGGAAGTCACATATTTCTAACCGTAAAGCGAAAGAGAGGGGGGGGGAGAGAGGGAAAGAAAGAGGAAAAGAGAGAGGGAAAGAG